TGTGTGAGGACCCACTCCGCGAGCTTCTCCTCAGCCTCCAGGCTCAGGTATTTGCCTTCTGACAGCGATGCCAAGTTCTCCTCTTGGAAAGCCTGAAACCTGCGGAGCCAGCGCTTGATGCGCCGCGGCGGGTTCCGGAAGTGCTCCGCAGCCTGTTCAGTGTTGCAGCACAGAGCAAACAGTACAACCCGCAGCTTCTTCACCGACAGCTGCTCCTTTCTGCCCGAGGGCTCAGGCTCCTTCGTTGGCTGCTCATCTTCCTGAGCATCAATATTTAAGTGCTCTTCTTCCTGGCAGAGCAGAGCTCTGTTGTAGGCTGCTGGTGCCAGCTCAGGCTCCAGCTCACCTTTCGCAGGTAACACAGACTTTGTTTTCACAGTAGCAGCTTTACTCGGGGAGTAGGTAGGACATGTGTTCTTCATGCTTTTGTCCTGGAGCTGAATGTGCCTTGAAGGGAGAGAACACAGGAGCCTTCTTACAACTCACAAAATAAAGCTGTTGAGGAAAAACAAACAAACCAGCCCCAGCCCCAACCCCACCGACTTGGAACAGCTGATGCCAGACAGGAGTTTGCAAACAGTTTACCTGGAATGCGATATCCAAGTAGGCCCTGTTAGGAGAAACAGAACAACAACGTTTGTACCTCAGCAAACAAACACTAAGTCAGTGCAAATAAACAAGTTATTTTCCAGAGAGGAGTATCAGAGTCCCTCTAGTCTGTCACTGCGCTGTGGGAACAGCCAACACTCATCATCCCTTCAAACCCCAACCAACCTCCTCCTGTGTGCAAGTACTGCCACATCCAAGCCAAGGGAGGGCTGCTCAGCCCGGCAGTCACACTGAGCAGTCCTTAGAGACAAAGAGCACAGCTCCACATCCATCTGAAGTGAGGAAAGCTCAGCTTTGGCCAGATCCCTGCAGGCAGAGCCCCTGCACTAGGCCAAGGGCTGGAACACCACTTACAGGGTCTATTCAAAACGCAGCATCAGCAGCTGCTTAAGGCCTCCTGGTGTCACGGAGGTACAACGATGTCTCAGAGGAAGAGAGGAACCCGCTGGAGCCCTTGGCACTGTGTCTCCCTCAGAAGATCCAGCTCACTCAAAGCTTAACTCTCCAATCTCCGTAACACTGGAGGCTCATTCAGGCAGTTCAGGAGGTCCCGACACTACATTTTACCACAACTCAGGACTCAGTAAGTGCTCATGCCAATGCCAAACAAAGGTGTATTTGACCTAGGGTCTGGGAACTGATGTATTATGTCCTGCATTAACGTTCTGCATCTTTTCTGCTCCCTTTCAAACTCTTACCTCGGAAAATAATGTTACTAAACTCGTGTGATGGATTGAAGACCAGATGTTTGGCCATCGCATCACCCTCAGATGTTACAAAGGGACAAGAGGAACAGGACAGCCTTACGCCACTGGAAGGGCATGGAAAAAGAAAAGGAGAGAAGTGAGCTTCATACCAGATATGAGAGTATGTCTATCCCCTCACTAACAATGAGAAAAGTCACCCTCCAGTGCATACAGGCAGTGTCCCCACCCCAAAACAGTAACTCTCACTGGAAGGCAATGGGAGTCTCAACACACTGCCCTCAATTCAACCTCTTTTCCCATGTGGCAAAAAACAAAGAGAGCTTCTTCAGAAGCAGATCAAGAAAGACCAGAACTGGAAGATCAGACAGTGAATGTGCCTGAGCTTCCCAGGTGATTCAAGTAAGATGACAAGTTTTCCATTACCAGGCAGTGTAGTTTTTAAATAAAGCCAAGTATTTCGGACTCTTCCGAGGAACGTGGTTGCTGTAAGACAATAAAAAGAGTTTATTAAATGTCAGAATTCTTCTGGGTATTTAAAGAGCTACAAAACCCATGTGAAATACAGCACATTTACAAAGACAGCCCCAATCCTGGCTTTCATACTGTTTTGTCTGCCAGTCTTGTATTCAAGGAGATGAAAAGTCCCTGTATAAGTAAACCCACCCATACAGTAATATTTAAAAAGCCCAGATTTTGGAGTAACTGCTCTGCCATCCCACTGTGTGTCAATGCACAGTCCTGTACAGACCACAGGCTGCAGAAGTGTGTTTTTTCTTCCCTTTTAAAAGGGTTTTAAATTATTAAATCTGAGATTTTGCAATGGATCTGAGGAGCACTGAAAGGAGGCAGCTCTGTGCAGCAGCGTGCAGCGCACACCTCAGGAGCTCCACACTGACAGCTCAGAAGCAATCCCGTGCCCGCTCTCCTCATGTCACCTAAAGCCACTCCCCACATCTGTGTTGATGCACGTGCCCGGTGTCTCCCGAACCGCTGCAGCCCACTGGGGTTTCCCCATCTCCCTTCCTCAGAGTGCAGACAGAGGCAGGCAGGAGGGATTTTGGGAGTCACGTACTTGATCATGTGGTTGGCGTAGGCTCTGGAGCAACAAGTGCTGTAGCGACACAGCGAACAGTGCACGTAGGTGGGGAAGTGGTTCGGGAAGTCGGGGATTTCGAAGCTGCACTCCAGGCAAGTCTGTCTCCCCAAGACACTCCTGAAGAGAAGAGGGATGTTTCCATCAGTGTCTGAACAGGTATCGTGGAGTTATAACAAGCAGCAGGACACAGAGGAATTTAACGACATGTGAACTGTCAGAAGCCTGCAGTCAAGCTACTCTCATCCTGCACCCTAGCTCCTGGGGTGCCTCGGTGCCAGGCAGGACACTTCCCACTTGCTGTAATCCAGAGTACATCATGTAAGGGTGGATTAATAAATCAAAAATAATAATGATAAAAAAATGTATCGAAGACAAGGCAGCAGGACACAGGGTGGGCAGAAAACCCTTATGCTGGTGAAATTCCACTCTTTCTACAAAAGCACTTAGCTAATTCTGTGTTTTGCAGTTTCACCTTAAGGGCTTTCAGAATGTGACTTAGTCCTGGCTTTGTGGGAAGCTGGACTCTCCTGGCTGCCCGGTGCCCAGGATCCTACTACCCGTCCCTGTGGCATGGACAAACTACCTACGTTCCCTGCAGGAATCTTTGGAAATGGTAAATTTAGCAAAAGGTTCTGACATTTTTTTGACCGCTCTCTTCTGGACGTTCCTCTGGACAGGCGGGTACAGGAGGATGGGCTGGGGGTCGGCAGCAGATGCCAGCGGAGCGGCTTCCTGTCCAGTGCCCTGCGGCATGTCATTTGACGATATTGGCACTGTCCGTGGCTGTCCTCTAGATGCCCTGATTGTAACCTGCAGAAAACAGATACACCCATACCTCCTAAAACACAAGGGCAGAAGTGAGCTATCCAAATTCAGACTCCTCTGCTTGGAGTAGTCTTTCAGGCTCTTAGCAGAGAATAAAGAGGTGCTCTCAGGACACAGCTCGTCCCACCCAGGGCAGCAGTAGCCTAAAAGAGGACACACGACTTGAGCCCCAGAAGTGCCTGTTTGTCCCTAATGACTACAGAGGGCGTCCAGACAACTAGTTCAGATCCCTTAGTCAGGAGAGTGTAACCTCTGGCGTGGCACTTTCACCTCCTCTCTATCTCACTTACTGTTTCTATGAAGTATTTGATGAACTACGCACACACAGCACGGGCAGAATACAAAGTGCTCTTCTGGCCCAGTGGTTTAAGTGATGCAGATGAAGCAAACCTCAGTTTTGCAGCACTTAATAAATACAAAACCACTGCAGGTGCTTCCTGAGGAAACGAGGACAGAGGCCTGCTGTTAACTTGGATTTCTTACCTTGGTTCCAGGTTTCAAGCCTTCTAATTGTTTGGGCTTTCGGAAAGTTTTGTGGTGCTGCAGCTTGTGTTCGATTTTATCCTTGGCAAATAGGAACTGGAGTCTACACTTGTTGCAATGATAAACACTCTTCTTCTAAAGCAAATGCAAATGAAATAGAGTTCATTGTAGAGAAACAGAAGTCACAACACAGCAGACCAAAGGCAGCCCTGTTTTAATTTAGGATCTCAACGTCCCTCCCCACCAAGCCCCACATCTGGAGTGCTTCGGGTTTAAATGTTTTGTTTTGGTTTTCTAATTAAACCCATCAGGCTCTGCAGGGACACCAGACCTGGCAGTGCCATGGACCACGTCTCACCCAGCTGGTTTAAGCCAAAGCAAGGCAGGCAGCAGAGCAGCGCGGGCAGCGCTCCTTCCGGAGCTGCCTCACCTCTGCCTCTCAGGGGAGGGGGCAAATCAAGGCAGGCACTTGGCACTACACTTCTGTACTCTGAAAGCACCCTTCAGCTGCACCCACGTGAAATATGCTCTCAATACAGCCAACATACATGGCTCAGAACACTGAGCTATGAAAATGATATTCATTTGTCATTTATCACCTGGAGATAAAAAGAATTAACCCCCAAATGAACAGAGAGCCCACTGCTGGTTTATCATCATGTGAAGCAAACACAGTCCAGCAAAACATGCTTTTTTCTGCTAAGTAACAACAATCTGTGCTACTCCCAAAGGAGCAATGCCTCTTCAGCACAATCCCTACGAAAGGCCTGGAATGACAGCATGCAAATTGCATTTGTCATGGAGTGAATACAGCACCTGCTAAAAGCCCTCCTTCAACTAAAGTTTGCTTTCTTTCTGTTTTGATTCCAAGCAAATCCTCAACTAACCACATGCTCACTATCAAGCCACCTCAGAGAGAGCCCTGTGGCAGTACCTGGTGCCTCATGAAGTGCTGCTGGAAAGCATTCCCATTCTTGAAGACCTTGAGGCAGTAGGGACAGAGCAGGTGCCGTGTGTCTTCATGGATCATGCGGAAATGGCTGTCCACCTCAGAGTAGAGTGAGGAACGGTACTGGCAGACCTAGGCAGCAGAGAGGAGCAGTCAGCAGAGAAGTAACAGAGCAATCCATCTCACATCTACCACTGCAACATGGAGATCTTAACAGCCATGCCCAAATCCCCAAAGACACTTATTATCAGTGGAGTTTAGGAACCAGGTCCTACAGAACCTGCTAGCTTATTCCAACTGCAATATACTAAATCAAGCAGTGTATATTCAGAGCAGTTTGGAGAAACAGATTTGAACTACTTGTATAAAAAGAAAGTAGTGACAATTCAAGCTCCAGATCCAAGAAGAAAGAAAAAAAAATAAGAGGAACAAAGGGAGAGACAGTCAGTCAAAGCAGTTGGAACATATTAAAGAGCAGCTTCGTCAGGGTCTATGCAAAATGCAGAATTTGGAACATCATGTTTTATCATAACATATTTTAGAAGTTTCTTCTCTGTTTTTTCTTTTTGGAGGGACAGTGTTAGGACCTCTGGGTGGAGATGACACGTTCAGAATCGATGCAAGCACAAATCTCATGGCAACAGAGTGTCAAGAAAAGGTATCACACAAGCAACATAATCTCATCTGCTCCAGAGTGACAACTTCTCTTTATGGCACAGCAATTTGCCTGCAGGCCCTGGGAGGAAAAAAAAAATTAGGCTCTGAATGCCACTGGGACTAAACAAATGTCTATCAGCTGCTCCAGCTTCAGCGTGCTGGGAACCGGTGGCAGCATTCAGCTACTTGTGCTGCCCTAATAGCCACTGGACTTCTCCAAGTCCACACCTGGAAAAAAATGCTCCACAGCACTGTTCCATGGCCCAAGTCTGCTTCAGACCACTGTGAGCCACACACTTTGCTGAAAAGTGCTGGATTTCTGCTTACTTTGTAGTACATATCTGTCAAGTGCAGTCCCTAAACCAGTTGTAATACCTGACAAACATAGGGCATCTCCCCAGGCTTGTGGGTGTCCTTCATGTGCTGTAGGAACATTGGCTCACTCTCAAATGCCCATTCGCAAATCTTGCACTTTGCTGCAAAGGAAAGCAAAGGCAGGTAACAGCTGGGGGGCACTGACAGTTCAAGCTTCTTTGGTAACAGTTGTCCCTTAAAACAAACCAAACATCCCCAAAAAACCTAGCTCTGAACTCTCGGAATTGGGCAGGCAATGAAATATATTGAGAGGTTTCCAAAAGGCAGCAAAAAAATCTCTTCCATAAAACGGGGGGGGTTCAACAAAATGCTCTAATGAGGAAGCTCCAAGTGATTTCAAAGCAGACGTCAATCTGCTGGTCTAAATTCACTTCTACCATGACATTATTATTGAACTCAATCTTTAAAATACTCTTGAAGTTTGCAGGAATGTAGCTTAGATGGATTTTTCTGGTGGCTACAAAACAAACGCCCCAAGGGGCAAAGCAAAACAGGCTCCCTTCTCAACAGAGGTGCAGGTAACACAGGCCAGAAACCCTCTTCAACCTGAACGATCAGCAGCTGCAAGATCAACTTACTTGTCGACTCATAGGGACTGTGGACATTCTCTAAGTGACACTGTAGCTGAAATGGAGTGGAGAACTGTCTGTAGCAATGCTGACAGATGGTGTGGACATCCACCTCTCCATTCTGCTGATCCAGTTCAACGTGGTGCTTCATGTGATTCATAAATCTTATGGAGTGGAGAGAAAGCACGTGAACAGAACACCAAGACTTTGCTCCTGGAAGCCCTGACAGCATTACGAACACTATACCACAAGGGTTTTGAACAGCATTGAGAGTTTTCCTTCTTGCTCTTCCCATCAAAACTGAACAAAGTCTCCTTCTATCCAGCAACCTCCTACTCCCTAACTCTAAGGAAAGTCAGAGAACAGATCTTGCAGGACAGGGGCTGTACTACTTGCTTTTGAGCACTTCCAACCCCAGGCTGGCATTTTAACTGATAACAAAACATTTCAACTTAAAAGAAAGAATCAGTTATCACAACAGACCCCCCCAGCACCTCCTCACCCAGAATACACTATTTCCTAAGGGTATTTTCCCCCTCTGTTGAAAAAGCACTGAATAAAGATGACAAGAGCAGTTCTTCCAGAATTATTTCCTATTACCTACTAAGACTAGTGATGAACAGATGAGATTTCTCTGCTGAAGAATGTAAATGCAATTACTCAAACCACACCATTTTCTTAGTTTTTGCCCTCGCTGAACTGTGTGATGATGGGCACATCTCTCCCTTTTGTGCTTCAGTTCTGGTCTTAAGCTGTACCATGGGAAAGCTGAAGGGCCTGAGAGCCTGCTGCTTATGACTTGTTTTCACTTCTGCAGGTCAGAAGTATTGAGAACAGTGCAGACTCTTCTTGTGGCACAGCACATTCCCTTACCTTATGTTGTTCTTTAGCCTCTTGGTGCAGTGTGGACACCTGAAGGAGGTCGGAACCTTGGGGAAGTTCAGTAGCTGGTTCACTTTGCCACCATCTCTGCCATAGTAGAAATCATCTACTAACATAATGAGCTTACTTTGGGATGAGTCAACTACGTTTTCAGTTGGCTCTGGAGCTTTTGCAGGTGGGGACAGTGCAGGGATAGGGGTAGAAGAGGGTGGAGAAGCAACAGCTGTAGTTTTTTCTGGTGATGGAGGCTTTGCAGATTGAATATTTGGTTCAGATTCTAGAGATTTCCTTTTCTTGAGGAATTCAACCATTTCAGGGCAGCAGTACTAAAAGGAAAACAAAACAAAACAAACAACCACAAAACCCCACACACATTAAACTGGATCTAGGAAGAACTGTTATGTACTATTAAACAAAGGTTAGATTAGAAAATAAATGCACCTCCTGGCACCAAGAGGACCTAAACCTGAGGTCCCTCACTGCCAGTAAAGGGTGCTGTGGAAGGTCTTCCAAAGGCCTCTCCTTTGCCTCTTCCTCCCAGTCTTATTCTTCCTTTTCCCAGCAGGCCCTGAACTAGTGCAAGAACTATTCTTTGCACTCCACAGTCAGAAGCTATTACCCATTAACTGCTCCTCTTTGGATGAGTACTTACACACATATGTCCTCTTAAAGCTTCAGTGACTCGAAACTGAGCATCACATCTTGGGCAGACCTTCCTGCCACCATCTTGCAAATCAAATGTGGGAATAGGAGATGAACTGACTGTAACAGGAAAAAACACAAAACATCAGAATCCTTACACTTTGTCTTAAATCTAGGCAAACTTTGGCATACTGAAATGCTTTTCTTTCAAGAGCTATACTTTTAGCTACTAACTAGACTGGACGAGGCATGAAAAAGGCAAAGTATGCAAGCAAAATATGCCCCCAGTAGCTAGAAAAAGGAGTGTCTCCAAATTAGACTTAAAAGAACCAAAGAAAGAAACAGTCAAGAAAAAAAACCAACCCAAAGGAAAACTGATCAGCTCGACTCAAGACCCCTTTGCCTTTACTCATTTGGTTGCTTTGGTTTTCCATCAGACTACAATGCCCCACCTTCACCTCCAGCTGTAGTAAGAAACTCGGAACACAGATGCCATGAAATGTATGTTAAATCAACTCCTGGAGCCCCAAACACCTCAGGAAGGTGCTTTTTTGGGAGCAGAAAAGCAAAGATTTTATCCTTTTGCCTCCTTGTGTAGAGTATTTCAGGTGTTTGTACACTCTCGAGATGGCAGCACGCACACACCAGGAATCCCCAGTGCAAGCTAATGTATGCAAGCAAATATCCCCAAACAAAATATAATAACTGGGTAAAAAAGTACAGATAAAGACCAAGAAATTAACAGCAAAGCTTTGTAGGGGTTTGTCCTCATTATGAAACCTCAGTAGTTACTCGTTAGTGTTTGTTTACTCCAGAAAGTAAGCTTCTGGGTTCTAAGCAGAATCAGTCTGTGACAAAAGCTGCTACAGACTGTACCTTTTAATGATGATGAGGATGACGACTCGGAAACACTGGATCTCTGGGAGCCATGCACAGGGCTGCTGTTGGAAACCACCAGTGGGCCCGGGCTCTGTCCTAACGAAGGAATGGTGTTCAGGGTATTCACTAGCTTAGCAACCTCATTGCTGTTCTCACCAGTCACTCCAGGTCTCTTTACAGTCACAAAGCTTGCAATACTCACTGAGAGGGAAGGGATAATGCAAGAACACTGATAAGGAATCAGTAAGATCTGGTCCACTGTGTGAATCCCACCCCCATCTAGTAATAGCCTTGTCTCTTGCTCTTTTACCTTCAGTCTGCACCAAAGATTACTGAGCCATCAATTATCCTGTCCATATATACAAGTGATGAATAAAAAGTGTTTTCCACTTTGGGGGACTTCTAATTGATGGTCTCAGGAGAATCTACAAACTAGAGTTTAACTAGTTCCCAAGCCAAACAGGACACAATGGCAGGATTATCCTCATTCTCCAGGTTGGTAAGAGAGATGAAGTGTGAGTCAGTGACAGAGGCAAAAAGAGAACCCAGGATTTCTGGCTCAACTTCTGTCTTTTAGCTGCTATGTCTGAAGATCAAATTATAGACAGTGTCAAACTTGCTTCTCCATGGCAGGTCTTACCTAATTTGGGGTTAGTAGCTTGACTGGACTGCCCTGGCTGCTGCACAGTTAACTGTCCAAGTGGTGTTGGCTGCGTTGCAGTAGGAGTTGTGGAGGTGCTGGGAGTGGACTTACTTTGCTGTTGTGCCTGGGACTGTGGGACAGTGCTCCTGATGGTAAGCGTGGCCGGAATGACCGTAGTGAAAGTGTTGGTGGTGGGTCGGACCGGCATGGTCGTACCTGGTCTCACCTGGGCCATTTGAGAGAACACCTGAGGGACACCAACTGCTGGTTTAACAAACTGGGTGCCTGGAGCTTCAAAAACAAAGGGACAAACAAGGTAGATGGAGTGATCCAATTCTTGCACAGTAATAGCTGAGTGCAACCTATTTTTCAACACTGCTGAGCTCCCAAAATTCCCAGTATTGGGGTTTTTTTAAGCCCTTGGTATTCTAAAAAGGAACATGCCAGTGGCTTGGGCTTGTTTCAGTCCTTACCTGGGACAAGGGTGATGGGTCTAACTGTTTGACCTTGCTGTACATTCAGAACAATTCCAACTTGGTTCATTGTGTTCTGTACAGGCCGAACATTCCTCACAGGAAATCCCTGCAGTCAAACAGTACCAACACCATATTGAGCAGATGTGAAGCACTGCCAATATGAGCTTTCTACCCTAAAAATCAAATAACCAAATAAACCCTCCCCCCCCTACATCTGGAGACCACTGAACTACGAGGCCACACTGCTCTCAGCCAGCACCTTCCCAACAGTAGGGCCTCCTCCCTTACCCTTACAACATCCTGATACACAGCCTCCACTCAGTCTCTCCTTCCCTAAACACCTACAGACATCTCACAGGTCTTAACAAATGCTCAGAGAAGCCAGTGGCTGTTCAAACAATTAACCTGCACATTTCCCAGGCAAACAAAACCAAGCAGCCAAGTGTTCAGCAAGGTCAAATTCACACAGTGGCCAGACCCACCTGCAGCAGGGAGCCAGACCCTACTGGTATGGTGACAAGTGAGCGCCAGCGTGAAGTCCCATCAGCCCTGTGCTGGCTCCACAGGACCTGCTGAGCTGTGGAACACGGCCAATTTCCTCAAATGAGACTGAGCTGCAGAATGACTGGGAACACAAGGTTGTTCCAGACCCAGCTACTGCTAAATCTACATCCATTTAAAAACCAAAACCCCACCAGATTTCAGCTTTAGTGTAACAGTCACTAAAGAACTGAAAGAGGCATCTGATTATTTCTTAACAAAGAACAGTCTTCCAGGGCTGAGGGCACTAGATCTTCTCCCTCAGCCATCCTGGCTTGGAAGGGTGCTCACCTGGGTTGTTATGAAGATGGGCTGGCTGGTCACTGGAGAATTGGTGACGTGATTGGCATTCTGCATGATCTGCACAGGTCGTAACACTGGCTGAGTTACCATCGTGCCCAGACCTGAAGTGGGGTTCTGGGTAAGGATTAGTGGCTGCCCACTCTGCTGAACGAGAGGATTGCCAGCTGGAAAAGAGACAGAAAGAGAGCAAAAGCCACATCTGTCAGATAAAACCCCTGCCACTCCGCTGGCAGTTTTAGTCTTCAGAATTTGAATGAGATACCCAGAGCATGCTTTAAGAGTAAACTTGTGAAAACAGCCAACCCTTGGTGTAATATCCATACTCAGGCTGGGATTTTCCAAGGAATGAGGTGTTCAAACCCCCTTAGCCTTGAGCAACCTCGGACTCTGATTACTCTGGCTCCTACATGCCCTTTGAACACAGCCACAGCAGCTGAAGGAAACATGTTTTCTAGTCTCATTAACCGTGACGTGAGGATTCACCAGCTGGCAGATACTGTGAAAACTTACACTGAGCCACCACAACCCCTGGCACAGGATGTGCACCAAAAGTAGAGCAACACTGGAAGTTTCTGAGCAGCAGCAACAAGCACAGAACGTTGGGGATGCCAGAGCCTGCCGAGGGCTTCAAGGAACTTGGAGACACGGCCTTGATGCTGTGAGCACTGCTCAGCACCAGCCAAAACACAGCGTGTTGTCATCGCTGCGACACTGAGCACAGCACTGCGAGGGAACTCCAGCTCAGGCAGAGCCAATGCAGGTGGCCACATCTAAAGACATTCCTCAGGATCTACTGACAGAAAATCCAATGTATTACTTTTTGTGAATGTCATGGGAGAGGGGAAAACAAACAAACAAACATGGCCACAAATACTTTAAACTCAGCTCCAGAAAAGGAGCAGAATTGAAGGAGGCTTCAATTCCTTCCTCTCTACCATTCTTCTCCACCCAGTTTAGCTCATTCATGTACTTGTGTCCATGCACTACCATGTCCACCCTGCTATTACTGCAATCCAGGTCCTGAGGACAAAGGGCTTCAACTTGGCAGAGGGAGGTGGGATCCAGGAAGCCCCACCACAGTCTTGCCAGTGTAGATATGCAGCATAATGTGACACGAGACTGACACAACATCCAGGTTGTTTCAGGGCTACAAAACGTTCCAACATTCCTGAAACTGCTGATGGTAGAGACAAGGGTTTGCTGTACCCCAACAGCAAATGTTTCCTGTGGAGCTGTAGACCTCCAGCAGCTGCACACCAAAATGTTCTGACCCACAGCCAAGGCAGCTCCTTTGGATGGGAGATGCTTTGCCCTGGCAGCGTCGACGCTGCTGGCTGACGGTCCTCAGGGTGTATGAGCCAAGGGTTTGCATGGAGATGATCCCAGGCAGAAACAGGGATGGCGTGATGGGAAGACAGCAGCAGGTTCAGATCCAAGCCCCACAGCTGCTGGGCCCACACTGCTTCTTGCTTCACTTTTTCAAGCACCTTAAGACAACCGTGGGGCTGCTGGAAAAGAGATCCCAGCTCCCACTAACAGAGCATGGGGAGGAGAGGGGAAAGGGAGGCAGAGGATGGGAATGCTGGTGTTAGAAAGCCTGTCTTGGACCAATGTCTTCTTTAGGCTCAAACCAAGGAGCACAAAGCCACAGCTGGCTGAGCTGGGTGCATGCTGCCTCCAGTCCCAAGTGGGAAGAGGACACGTTTCCAGCCTTTGCTGCTTTATTGAGCCCGGTGTCTGAAGAGGGTCAGTAAAAATGTGGACGGAGTCAATGAAAATTAGAGACAAACAGATGGTATTTGCAATCTTCCAAAGAATTCAGAGGTAATCCCTTCACAACATGAAAAACATCAAAAGGTGATAAGCAAAGAAGCTCAGGGAAAAGAAAACCCAAACTCTCTCTATCATGTTCGAAACACTTCCATCCCACTTAGGACCAGTGAAGGCCCAAATCCAAAGCATCAGCAGATGGTTTTCATCTCCTCAGTGTCTCCAGGATTTTACTTGGCTAACAAGGAGCACACAGTCGTCCCCAAAGCTTTGCAAAGCACTGGAAGTCTGTGTCTGCAAATGTCTTGGCCATGGAACTTCCATGGGAAATCCTGAAGACTGAAGCTCTGATGATTTGTGGTTTCCAGCTCCTGCTGGTGCTCCTTTGGAATCCACAGAGAATCTGGGCAGACTTGGACTAGTTGAAAACACCAAAGATGACTTTAGGCTCCATTTTAAAGCCGAGAATGGCTCACAAAGATCATCTGCTCAAATCAGTCCAATGATTTTGACTCTCTTCTCCAGCAGGGACATGGCAGGTCTCCTGAAACACTGGCATTACTAGAAAAAACAATAGCAGAAGCATATATAAATACTCTGATTCCTTACCAGAACTGCAGGTTCTTTTCAGTGTGGCCAGGACAGACACAGTTGTATGCCCAGTGTTTCTCTTTTCCCAGGCTTTGGTAGACTCTCACAAGTGAGAATGACAAGCACCCTGCAGCAGCCTGTCCAGGAGCATGCAGTACTGCTTTAGATTGATTCCAAGGAAGTCTGTAAGGTTTCCATAGATCCTGCAGCACTTTACACTCACTGGCCAAGACAGACGTGCAGAGATTCACTACTTCATCACGGCAGAACGAGGAGACCATGGCAGATATCAGCTGCTGGGAAAGAACAAGTTACATTCTTCTCTCTTCTCCTCCTGCCTCTCCATGCATGATTGTCCAGGTAGCCCACTGGAAATGGTTTAACTGGCTTCTTGGAGGAAGAGGATTTACACCTAAATGCCAGCTGATGAAGTGAGCCTCCTGAACAGCCCATGTGGTCCTGGACACAGTGATTCTGGCGAGTCCTATGCTTCTTCCTACACTCCTTGAACTCCTCCTTGACTTCCAGTGTGCTACCAGGAAGGCAGGTAGATGTGTAGAAGAGGAGTTTCTTTATCCTCTCTCTCAACTAAGCACAGCAGAGATGCTCTCCTGTAAAGGAGAAGCCATTCCTTGTCGCATTTGCCCTGGCTGCTCATAGAGGAGAGGCTGGAGTGATAAAGCCTCCAGGAACCCCCACAGGGATGTGCACTTCCCAACAGCATGACCTTCCTAGAGAAGAATGTCAGTGCTGGGCCCATCAGTAAGTTACTTTGCATGTGAACAACAGAGGTGCCACAATAGAGACCTCAAAGTTAGAGCACAGGACACCATTGCTAAGGAGCTCACCACTACCAAGACTCCCACCACTGGCACAATCCACATCAGAGTCAGTGATAAATTGTTAGGACATCAGCACATCAACACCAAGACTTTGACCTCAACATTTGGGCATCAACAAAGGTCCACTTAGGCCTTAAGAAGGGTGGACTAAATAGCCTCAGAGGATTCAATTCCTTGATGACTCTGTTTGCCAATGAATGGCCCTGGGCAGCCAGCACCAGTAGCTGAGGGGTGAAAAGGAGCAACACTTCAGGCTTTAATGGCAGTTGATCTGGACATCAAGTGGAGTTAGCTCTCCAGGGCATTCCCAAGGGATTACTGGGGCCTGGGGACACAGGCTTGAAGGTGTCTGAAAAGCCTTCCCCATTTTTAGGAGAAGCAACTTGCAATGGCCCCTGTGCTCTCTGGATGCATTTCCAGGCAGGATGGCAGGTCCAGCACTGCTCCAAGACACAGGAGGGACAAGGAGCAGAGCTAACAGAAGCTTCTGCCCTAAAACCACTCCCTGGATGACAAAGCTGAGCTTGGTGCAAACAAGCACAATTTGTGTTAACAATTAGAAGAGCAAAAATGGTACTAAATGTGATGTACAGTTGAGGGCAGAGGACACAGGGCTGTGTCCAGTCACACTGGTGCAGCAGCAATTGAAACTGGACAGAGTTCTCCCACTTCCCATCCCAAGCTGGCTCAAGCACACACAGTTATGTGATTGCTGCATGTTAAGCAGCAGCACAGTATTTTTCTTCTATAGTTTCTATATTTTCAGGACAAAAAGCACTTTGTGATTCCTGCAGTGAAAAGAATGGCAGGAATCTAAGTTATATTTTTATCTGATGGAGGAATTATTAACAAGGAGCCAAAAGCTGTCAGGCTGATGTGCCATGTGGCACCCAGCTCATCTCTTGCCAACAACAACAGTGCTTTTTTGGATACAAGGACAGACATGTATGTTATACCAGCCAGCTCTGCACATCTGTGGAACATGAAGAACTGGTTTGAGTGGGATACAGGTACAGCTAAAAGCAATCAAAAGAAATTAAGGAAAGAAAAAATTAGGCCGAGCGTCACTTCAAATATATTTAGCTTTCAGTAATTTTTCCTTTTATGTCCTATTGGAGACATTTTAAAACTAATCTGCAGGGGAAAATTTGGATCCAGCAGAAAGATGGAATAAGATAAGCTAAAAGATAGTTCCATCTTTAGCTTGGAAATCCTGTTTCCTGGCTTTTGGGTCATTTCTAGGCAGTGTGGGATGTGCCTGTGCTCTGCCCATTCAGAGGAGACCCAGTGGTGTGTGTACATTGCACCTCATGAGAAATTCAAGCCTGTGTTTGTCCTGAAAGTCAGGTTATTTCCCAACATGGGTGCTGTTATTTAAGAAAAGGATAAATCTGAGGTTTCCAGACTTGCTCATAACTGAATTACATCCTAGAGAGAAAAAAAAACCCACCCAAACCCCAACAAAACCTTATACTGGGAGAAGAGACAGATTTAATGCGTCTTCCTCAGCCCGAACTTGTCTTTTTAATGAATGTAAAACAAAATGCAAGACAACAGCCATGAGCATAAAAACCAGACTGCTGAGAGCTGGGACAGCTCCAGACACAGCTCATTTCGTGAGCATTCGACATAGTCACAACTTAAACTGGGATGTGACCCCAGTTACTGGGCCAGCAGAGACTGCAGGGACCAGAGAGGTGCCAGATGTCCCTGTGGCACTTTGCCACTCAAAATCCTGGCTGGCATCAAGCCCAAAAGGATTCCCCTGCAAGGGAAAGCCACGTTCTAGGAGCTGGTAGGGACTCTGTGAATCCCCTACTCAGGAAAGGCAAGGCCACACTGCTTTGCTTTGCACTGGTCCTGAAGTGCCAAGCTATCCTCTGCTGCACCACTGCAATCCAGAGGAGAAGCTACTCCACCACAAGAACTGAAGTGCTCCAGAGCTATGCAAAACCAAGCATGTTTCCATGGTTTTTCACCTAACAGTGTCCACCCCAAAGCATTTGAAAGTCTGTCACTCAATGAAGGAGAATGGGCATGTGACAGTGACCAGGAACACAGAGCACAACCAACAGCATCATCCCGACCACACAGACTCTGTTTCCATCCCAGCAGATCAGGAAAACACAAATATAACCCATGTCATCGAGCTCACCCTGACCCATAGAGCCCTGACAGAGCTGATCAAGCTGCCACCTCCCAAGTTGTGCCTGTTTGGAAAGTCACTCTTGCGTCTGTAAAGGTCATTTCCCTCTCTCCTCTCTTCCAACACAGACCAACACACCTCTGAGACCTTCAGATTTTTTTAGCAGTCTCTGATCAAACATTGCTTAAGAAATTCTACAAACCCTCCTTAAGAGGCAGACTTGCACTGCAGCAGAAAGAGATCCCAGTGCACAACAGCGCAGCACGAGGGCAAATCCAGCAGGAAACAGGCAGAACAACCCCAACCCGAGAGCAAAACAACCCCAACTGAAACCAATTCTATCAAATCATGGGTTAAATAAGTAATAGTAAACTAGCTTTACTCTCACTAGTTTGACTACATAAGTTAAGCCACAGGAAATGCAATTCTGCAGTTGAATACCTGACTTCCTCAGGCATTTCCAAACTGCTGAAGGATTGGAACTTAGTCCCCACTGACTGCTGAGATGTACCAAAGCACCTGATAGAAGAAACAGCATCACTTATTTAAATTATCACTTCTCTACTTTTAAGAAACAACTACTTTGGCTGAAGAACATGAGGAACTTTGCTAAAGTTTCATGGCTAAGCCCTTTTCAAACAGGCCATGCATCCAGCACCTGCAATAAACCCTACAGAGAACTGAGCTGCTTCCTCATGCACAGGACTGGCCTCGTGCAGCACCACATCAGCTCTGCCCAGCACTCCAGAGCTCTGTTCACAACCAGAACTTGACATTTGTTGCATCAAGCTACCAAATGAGACTGCTTCCTCGGCAGGATGTGACCCATCACTGCCACTGCTCTTGAACATCGGTAACAGGAGGAATTCTGGACTCAAAACAGTTAATTACCCGCAGTGGTTTTATCAACTGAATTATAATCCTCAACAACAGAATCTTCAATCACATCACTGATCTTCTGCCATGGTTCCAGCTCCTCCTCCTCACATTCCATAAAAAGGTCCGTGTCCGCCATCCTGCAAAGGGAAAAGAAGATAAACCTTCATTGGAAAACTCTGTCAGGCAGCAGAAGTCAGTCCTTAGAAGAAAAAGTCTCATGCTTTTATTTCCCAGTATTCCAAAGGGAAAAAGGAATAAAAAATTAGTAACTGTGATTGAAAGAAGGAAGAATTGTGGGTTTTGTCCTGTTCAATGCTTTGAACATTCCCAGATTACTGCCAGTACGTGACAGAGATTGAATATCCAAGCCTCAATGAGTAAAAATGTGGGCGCAAGTATGCAAAGAGCCCTTGGCTGCCCCCAGCCAACCCCTCCACCACAGCCCACAGCCCTGGCTCCTGTCCTCGGAGGATGACAAGCACTTAGCAACTAGTTCAAAGGCAAAAAAGACAAACAGGAAAGGGATTTTCTGCACTTAGATCCATAGTTATTATCCTTCAACTCCACCAAATGTTCTCTTGATCTTCAAAGTACCCAATTCACCTCTTCTGCACCACTCACTCCTGGGTATAACCACTGCCATGTTTACTCAGAGAAGACACAACTCCAGCCTGTTTTGTCTCTCTCCTCCTGGATAAGTCTCTCGTTCCTGCCACCTCTCTCAAACTTCTCTTTTGGAGCTGTTTTTGTGAGGTAGTGAAGCAGAAACAAAGGCGACTTCCTAAGCAGGGGGTGCACCAGCCTTAGTGTAACGACCTTCCAACATCCTAATTCCCAGTGTTACTTTCTGCTTCACTATTTATACATCTTCCCACTTAGTTTGCTCTCCTGAGCACTGCTACAGAGTCACAAGTTCCCGTGGATCTGCCAACAGTGAAAGTCAAGTGTTTTCTCCTGGGACCACATCTAATCTAGACCTCAACAGTGTGTAAATCTGTATGTGCTTCAAGTTAAGAGTTCAATTAAACATTCAGACCATCAAGCCAGAATTAAACCCAAGATCATTCACAATCAGCAACAGTCTCAAGTGTCCTGGAGGACATCTCTTCTCAGCAGGTGGTGGAGTTACCACCAGAGATCTCCAGGAAGCTGATTTTCACTCCTGTGCTGAGATCTGACCGACAGACACACATTTCTAATCACTCTTTGACAACTCACAAGCTGCTGGGAGGAACTTCATCCCAGGCTCAGTTTTGCCTCGTTTCAGGGTTTGGCTGTTTCTGAACCTCACTTACAATGTTTATGAAAAATTTGGGCTCTCCTCAGTATCACGTTTCAGAGTCTTGAAGCACTATGCCTCATTCTAGAAGCTCAACTGCACCGTAAGTGAATGGGAATCAAGGCACCTAGAAGGGATTTTGCTCTTCTTTCCACATCTGTGATGGAATCAAGAATTGAAGAGCTCAAATTGAAGAACAGAAGATTGTGACTAAAAAAACAAAACCAAAAATAAACCAAAACAACAAAACACAAAAGAAAATAAAAAAAGAAATCCAAAAATCATTTCTGAAATGACAAATAGCAAGAAACTCAGTTTCTGGGAATGAAGCTCTGAAGTACAGCTTTATGCCAGGGATCTGCTTAGCGGGGGACAGCAACAATCCAAGAGCCTGAAATATTATCTTCTCTGCCTGTTAACATAAACTTTGCCATAATGACAAGACCTTAGTAAATCTCACACAAGCCACACTCCCAACTTGAATGGAGAGCCATTACTAGGGATCAATAGCTACAAATTCATCATCTTCAATATTCATCCTTCACAGAAACGTCTAGAAAAAGATCCCGTGAAGCTTCCAGGACAAAGCTGCTCTTTGCTGGTGAGACTCACAACAGTAACTATTTGTCTGGAATCATGTTACTGCCTGCAGACAGTAGCAAGGCCTTGATGCTGTAGTGATGGGCAGTCTATAAATAGGATCCATAACCTGCTCTATTCACCAATGCAGGCACACGCTGGCCAGGGAGGGCACAACCAGAGGAAGCCTCTGCACACGTTGCACAAATATATTATTCAACACCTCATCATTATTCAAAAGATGCAAAGACAAAATGCTAAAGAGACTGTAGTTACAAGCTTCTTTTGACACTAACTTACATTATGCACATAGTATTTCATCTGTTCAGATGAACTGAACTAAGAAAATGTCTCCTCTCTTCTATAATGTAACAGCTTTGTTTTTCAAAGCTTTGATCTTGAATATTTTTGTATGTAAGAAGCCTTTGCTCAATAAAGTGATTAATCCCAATGATAAATACTCTACATTTAGCTCTTCAGCACTTTGTTGGCAGATGCTCGGTTGAAAATACGGATGCCAAAAAAAACTACAAAAGAAAAATACAGAAGTGTTCCAGACACACTGCAAGAAACCAAGGAATTAGCCTCTCAAACCGAAAGGTGTTTTCTCTCCCCTTTAGCTGGAAATGGGAGAAGAGCTCCAGGGGAAGAGCCAACATACATCAGCCCTACACAAATACAACTGGCACAACTGCAAGCTACGGAGCCTTCAGTTTTTGACAGCTGATGTGGTTCCCACTCACTGTTGCCATACAGGGGAGAAAAGCCAAGAGCCATTAAACTCTCCTGTGAAAAGCTGGCCACCAGATTGTGTTCTCTGCTCAACGTGATCACCACCACAGGGGAAAATCCAGCAATAAGGATGGTTTGTTTGTATACAACTAAAGATATTACCCTGTCATGAAAAGATCTCCTTTTCTCATACACCTTGGCACAAGAAAATGAAGTCTCCCTTGTAGATTCCAAATTTCAGCTGAAAGTAAGATCCAATTTATCAGTGAGCCACTTTCACATAGTTAGAAGGGAGTCAGACACAAGCCTGTCATTATTCTCCCAAGAGAAAAGGAGTGAGCAGGTAGAATGGACCTACCCCTGTGTTCTGGCCTGGAAGCTCACTGGCACTTTCAACCTTCAAAAGCCTCTCAGTAAACCAGATGAACACTGAGCACAGCTCCTCCACCCAAGGAGGAGGCAAACAAAGGGCTCAACACCCACAGCACGAGTTTGAACTCGGTCATGTCCCTGATGTAGCGATGCGAGCGCAGAGCAGCGGGTGCCACGTGCTCTCCACTCTCTCAGGCATCCCTGGCAGCAGGTTCTACACCAGCTGCAGACCACGGCAGCTCATTGTGCTCCTTGAAGGCATCTCTAAAAGATGTGTGACATATTTACAGTTTCTGTCACAGCTTGGTATTATGTGACACAAAGCAGTGAAGTTATGACATACGCACACACATACACAGAGTCTTTAAAAAGGACTTCAAATGAATGGCTCGCTCAGTGTTCTCCAGGATCCACGTGCTGGATGTGCTACTCCTGCTACACAAACTTCACTTTCTCAGGCTTTTAATTATAAAAACAGAGAAATAAACTAGCAACTTGTCAGGGCCCCACTGGTGACTCAATTTCTCCTACTGGAGGAAATCATCTGCAACACAAGCAGGTGAGAAATGAACATGTACTCCATGAGCCAGGTGACTTGGTAAAGCAAAGAGCTGGATTTTGTTTGAAGACACAATAAAGAGGAGGGCCAGAGGCTGTTATCCCAGAATTTCCCGACATCCTCCCTTGATAGGATGTTAACTGCAGAGGTACAAACACAGCCACACACTTTGCTGCAGCAACAGCAGAAAATCCATCAGCCCTGCTCGGATCAAGCACTGGAAGGTTGGAGAGAGCAGCCTCAGCTCCCACCTCACACTCTCCAGCCTAGAGCTGAGCTGCTCATGCGGCCTTTCCCTGGCTAGGAAGGAACTCCAGATGCAAATACATTTATGTTCCCACCATCACAAGTGTTGTTAGGTTGCTTTAAGCAATGGCTATCCTAACCCTTACAGATAACATCAGGCCTTCAGGAATCCTCATCTAAAGCCTCACTGACACTTCCAAAAGAGAATCTGCATCTTCATGTGAATTTACAATGTAAAACCCCAAGTGAATATGCAGTGAGAATCAATCAACTATTAGCACAAAGCATTACCATGCTAATACTGCTGTTCTTTTTTAAGGAATAAAGTCCCAGCTGACTCCCATGGGGATCCTGCAGACGCAGGTGACTATCAGTGATGAAGGACTGAACAAATGCCAAGGAAATAGTTTATGAAATTTACAGATGGGCCTTGCACCTTCCAGAAGTCTGTGACTAACAAATTCCAGCATACAGGTGACTCCTCCAAGGTCTCACACAGAGCTTCATTCACCTCACACAGGGCTGCCACACTGGCAGCACAGCAGAGGGGAACACCAGCACACAGAGCAATGCATCTGCATGGGAACTGCTGCAACAGCTCCAGAGAGGTTATTGTGGGTGATGACCAGGCTTAGAGGGAAGGAACAAACATACCCCGGGCAGGCTGCATCCCTCCACTCCACTGCAGTAGGAATGTGGCTGCTCTGCCCTGCACTGAAAGGCAGAGGTGGGATGTGCACAAACTACGTCCCAGATTATTACAGCTGGAGCACTAAGGACATAGACTTTCTTGATCCTTCTTTCCAGTGGTCTGTCAGTTTTTATGCCAGTCTAGATTTGCCATTGTAGATTTAACTGCAGGATGGTTAGAATACTATCAACAGCCCTTTCAAAAAACAAGCATTAATTGACCCTTACACGTTCTTCAGCACTTGCTATAAAACAACCTCCTCCCCTCCTGACACTCCAGAAAATGGGAAATCTAAAATGTAAGACTGAGGGTCTGTAAGAGACCTACAAATAAGCCTGAGGAGATGGTTCACTGCACGCTTTAGGACAGAAATTAATGCATAAATCAACTTCTCTTGTCCAAGTTATGTTCTTCTCTCCATTCTGGCTTTCCCTGGTGAACATGCAATCTCCACACACCTGCTGCCTTGGTACTCCTGGTACTGTGCACTTATCAGTGAGGAGCATGTCCTAACTTCTGAAGAACCCAGAAACCCAACGAGGTTACATTAAGTGCAAATGAATCCTACAGTAAAGGCTTCTGCTGTCAAGACACGCTGCAATCCCTGCCCTAAAAAAGATAATGCTCTTCAGTGGCTTTTAATGACTGCCTAGAACTGATACAATCTAAGTGATGAAA